TGTAGTAGTGCAAATAAACTACAGCACAATTTAGATTTTTTGTTTTTTCCTGATAGAACAGGGCATCTTTCAACAGGGATTCAAATAATGCTGTTATCCCAGGCAATCCTAATGAACAATATATCTGTTAGAACATGAATTATGATATAACAATGTGGAAAAAGCAACTGAAATACTTAAAAATTCTAGTGGAAGGAGGAGGAAGAGCCTTACTGTGGTAGATTAGCAAATTTGGCCATTAAAAATCTGCTTGCTCTTTCTAAACAGCTGGGTTAATACTGTCAGCATTTAACAGGGATATTGTATGGAAAAGACATGCTCTAGTCTGTTTTCATACTAAATATTACATAGATAAACTGTTTTGGAAAAGAGCATTCAACAGAATATACTTATGATATCAGTTCATCGAGCTTTTCTTTTGAAGCTAATTTGAGGGAAAAGCTTGCATCCATCAATGCTTCACTAAAATTATGAGATCAGCTTGTAATTTCAATGTGTCTTTGTGTGGCTTAGATGACAAGGACCCATTATTTCATTGAGATTGTGAAGCTTTCGTCTCTGCCGGTACATAATACATAATTTTTTTCCCTGTATTAAATAAAAATGCAAAAATTATTTTAAGGATTGAGGATGAGTACAAGAAATTACGTCTTCTTTTAACTAGCTGGACACATTAGAATGGGAAAAGTACTCTTAGGAAGGTAGCTATTTATAACATGGCTGAAAAATATTGTTTACAGTTAGTAGAAAGGAAAAGTAAAATGGTACATCAGTGAATGTGTTATGGAACTTTTTGGAAGCTTGATTTAAAATACTTTTTCATACAGTAAATCTTTCCTTGTATAAGAAATAAAACAATAACAAAAAAAACCCACAAAACAAAACATGAAAAAACACCCAACAAAACCCAAGAACCAAATATGGCTATTTTTCAAGGTATTGTGACTGCTGCTTTTTTATCTGTATGCTGTCACATCTGTTCACAGTCATGTTGTCTGTGAAGTAAAGAAAGTTTGATTCTGAAAAATAATTAATATCATAAGCACATTTCAATGCAGTAATTCTGTAGGAGGCTTTGTTTTATATAGCTGCAGAAGGTTTAGATCTTACTTGGTTTGGCATTTGGTTTAAGAAATACTTTATGGCTGTAAAGGTTTTTCTTCCTGAGTTATTCTGGGAGATGTGTACTGTTGGATTGCCTTGTCAACACAGCATAGGTGTATAAGGAAACCAGGTACACTGTGTTAGGAGAACTCAGGGGTTGTTGTGTATGGAGGGTTGGTTTCTGACTTGGTTTGTTAATTTGAATAGTGTGGGTAATAAGATGCAATAATTGTCTTTACTTTAAATTGCTAAACTTTTCCAGTGCAAATTCTCATTCTGTATCCTACATGATGCTGAAAAGTTGGCATTTGTTCTCCCCACTTTCTTGTCAGCCAGATTTGTAGTAGTTATTTTCTTCCTAACTTCTAAACAAGCAGGCATAATTTCTTTTTAGAAAAAAATAATTTTTTTTCTTCATACATTGCTCCAACGCTTGTGGCAATTCTGCACTGGTACTTCTTCTTACCTTGGGCATGCTTAAGATTGGATCTTTGTGTTACTTGGATAGCTTTTTAGCATTCGCAGATCTCTTGTATGATTTAGATGCTTGACTCTTGCATGCTTCTGGACGTCTATGGTAACAAAACATCTTAAACATGTAAACCTTCATTGAATATTTACTTATGTTTGGATGCCTTTACATCAATGCTCGCCTAAATGAAAGGTCTGTCTAGCCTAGTATCCTGATAACTTTCAACAGTGGATGGCTAGGGAAGAGTCATGTAAATGGTATAAGCGTGTAGCCACAATATCTTTCCCAGCCCCGGCAAGCTTTGACTCTGGGACTTCCCTGTGTTTGGAAGTGCTTGAAAGCTTTTTCTTGAACAAATTTGTCTTACTACTTTCTGCTGTCATGTGAACTTTTAGCACCTGCAGAGCTGTGTGCCAGGAATATAATTCTACTATAATTAGCAACCTTTCACATTTCTGCAATGGTTGTGAACTTACATTACTGTTCATTTGTACATGAAACTTTTCACTCCACTAGTGAAGAAATTCAGCTAATATGTGAAAATGGTATCGGTCCTTTATTTATTTATTTATTTATTAATATGGTTTGGGACTTAGCTCTGTTTTTAATAGAACAGACCACCTGGTAGGATTTCTTCTAGGTCACAAAGATACTATTCATGTGCTTGATTGCTGGCTGCTTTACAGTGTTTTTGAAGTAGCCTTTATTTTACAATTAGATTTTTATTTTTTTCTAAAGTCAAGAGACCTGTTGAAAAGGACTGTTCTGCTCAGCAGAACAAATTAGTGCATAGCTCTCATGTAACAGTTCTTTTTTATGGTCTTATATGAATGCAGGAATTAAGCTAGCTCTCAAAAAATACTCTTTTTAATTGAAAGTATATGAAAATTAAATATTTTTACAATGTAAATAACAGAAGGATAAAGAATTGTTAGTTTACCAAAATCTGAACTATACTGGAGTGACTTACGGTGGATACTTTTTACAACATTCCTCAGTTTGTGCTCCAGCTTCAGTACCTAGTACTGAGGGGAGGCTGCTTACTGTTCCCCCTAGGCCCTGTATTTCAGCTAAATGGCAAAGATGAGTTGGAGGAAAATAGGCACTCACCTCTCCTGCTGACCAGGTGGAGCTGAGAAACCAGCTGTGTTACTCTCATTCATATTATGAAATGGCAAAGATGTTCATTTCAAATTAAACCATGGTGAGACCTGAAAGAATAAAGAAACTTAGGCCTCTGCTTCTGTCATGCCTTTGCATCTTTCCTGAAGAGGAGAGCAATGCTGGGCAGTTGCACTATTTCTCCTTTGTTTTACTTTCCAATAATGTATAACACTTCTTTTAGACTGTGAATGCGAACAAATGAAAATAAATATAAATGCACAAAATATTGTGCGTTTATAAATTTCTAGAGTCCTTTTAACAAAACCTCTAATCTTTAAATTGATAACATCTCTCTATTATACATAAGTAATTATTACAGATGCTTTTTTGCAATATGACTTAAGCTTACTGGAATCTGATCAGTATAATGTGTGATTTGATGCCTTTTGACTTTTAAAGGCACTAATGTGATCTGTAAAAATCAATTTTTGCCAAAATAGGAATACATAAAGTATAACATCATGGTTAATATATAGATGATAATGTCTTGGAGCTGACTTTGCTATTCCAATCCAGCACAAATACTGTAGCAGTTATTGTGTAGATAACTGGGAAAGTTTTGGTAGCTCCAGATTTGGAAGAACTGTACACGAGATTCAGCAAGGGCTTGCCCATCATTGGGCCTATGAAAATCTGCCTGTCTTGGTACATGAGTCAGATACGAGAGAAGATCATTCATCTTAAGAATGGTTTTGTGTGATATGCAGGGATTCTTTATGGTCTATACTAATTTTCTTTCAGTGAGGAAAAGTTTCCTCATGAAGTAATTTTTTGTGAGAGTTAACATTAGAGAGAGTGTTTTGCATGGGCTTCAGTATCTGTATATCCTGTTACATTTATTAAAAGAACCTTATGTTCTCAGTTCATTACTATTTCCTTTCTCAGCAGCAGACTTAACATTTTAAATACTCTGTTGTTTAATGTGAAGCTCAGATAATTATGCTAATGACACAGTAGGAATCTGTAAATATTTATGGTAAGTTATTGAAGATCTGTATTTTAACAGACGTAGAACAAATGTCTTTCAATGTATCTGAAGGGCGGAAATAGTCTTTAAAGTTCCCGGTCATCAATGACACTTCCAGTAAGTCTGTTTCCAGAAAAACATATGGGAATTGTGAAATTGCTCAGCTGCTTCAAAAACCCATAAAAGTTGATGTTATTTTTTTCCACTACTCTCAGATACACTTTGATCCATTTAAAAACAGATTATTATGATGTATGGAGATATTAGGGGTGCACTTAAACTGTTCTTTGCAATGCAAGATCATTCAGTATATGTGCTTGGTACTGTGTTACAAGCCTGTACTGATCCTCTGCTGCAAGAATGAGTGGCAAGTAAATGTTTATGCAAGCAGTTCACTTCTGTATTTTTACTAAAGAAAAAATAAATTAAAAAAAAATATTTAAAAAAAACCAATAGCAACAGTCTGGTGTTGATTCTAGTATTAGATAGTAATTTCTTAAGTACATTCAAAGGAGGGTATGAAGACTGCTTCTATAAAATGCAGTCACTAAGACTACTTAAAATTGACTGGACTAAGTTTCTTGAACATTGACTGGATTAGTTGCTTTGAAGTGCAAAAATGGAGGAACAAGCTTCTTGAAATTCTTTGAATTTGGGTCTTAACTTTTGTATGCTGGGCTATGTGGGACTCTTCCTTTAGTGACGAGAGATGTCAAAGGACATACTACTTTATGATATATATAACAAACTCTTTGAAGGTACTTTGCTATTCTACACCACTGCTGCAAATTAACCTGGTTCTTTTTCCTCATCCAGTGATCCACCTCAGATCTTAGATAATGTGGTCAAATGCACAGTACAGCTATGATAAGATTCTTAAAGTACACAATACAATTGTTTATAGATATAGAAACATGTAAATACAAATGTGAACAATCTCCATTTAATAAGCTTTTAGAACGTCTGTGATCATCTTTCTGAGGATATAGTTTCTGTGCAATCCTGAATCCTCAATTTGGATTTTTTGAACAGGGGACCAGAAATTCAGATATATGTGTCTCTCTCTCTCTAGAGAGAGCCAAATGCATCATACTCATATTAAAAGAGATCCATTTCCCGTCTTCAAAAGGTTTTCTTAATCTTGAACTCAGTGAAGAAATAATACCAGCTTCTACCCATCCTCTTCAAGCTTAAGAATCTACAAGGCTCCTAAGACATGACCGGGCTCACAATCCCAGGTTTAGGTTATAACAAATCAGCTAACAATCACTAATTTGTTTTTAATATTTATTTTTTTTAAGTGGGATGTAGTGAGAATAGTTTACCATCAAAACATTGATGTAAATTCCAGAAATCTATGGAGCAAAAAGCATTGCTATTTGGTGCAAACTTAATTGCTTTACAGCGTGGATAAATGTGAACCATTTATGGGTAGGAAAAGTTATATTCATCAGTGTTTTAAAATGAGTTTCTGGATGGAAGGAGGAATTGGGTCAGTTTCACTGGACTTGGAATGTGTCTATATATAGTGATTCAGCTTCAAGTCAATGAGTTCATCTAAAGCCAAGACTTACTCAGATTCATAACACTTCCAGAGTATTGTGGGTAGGACAGGATGGGTCATTTGGGTCATTCTGCTGCTTGGATTTTTAATACTTGGTCTGTCTTGTAATGGTTATGCTTAATTATTTTTTTTCACTGTTTGCATCTAATCCTTACCTGTCTCATTCTTGGGGGAAAAAAAAAGAAAAAAAAAAAAAGGTAGATCTCTTAAACTAAGTCATTGTAGTGACATAGGTAGTCTTTGTTTTAATGCATGTGGTAATTTTAAGAATGTTTCCTAATGAAGTGTTATAATTGGAAAATAAATCAAATATGCAATGAGATTACTTAACATGGAACTGGAGTCCCATCTTGCTAATGATTTAATCTGAGAAATTAATTTGAGAGCAACAGGAGAGGAATAGAATGGAAGTGTGTCAGCTCTTAAAAGCAAAAACATTTTTTCTGAATGCACGGCTATCTAAAGACTTGTAAGTTGATGCTAAAACATTGAGGAAGAGGGATTAAAATCGAGTTTTCAGTGGTACATAGTTCTTCTGTGAGGCATCATGAGGCCAGGCTTTTTTCAGTGATGTCCAGTACATCCTGTGTGATGTGCTCTAGGTGATCCTGCTCTGGCAGGGGGACTGTACTGGATGATCTTTCAAAGTACCTTCCAACCCCTAAGATTCTGTGATTCTGCAATCATGCTGTTTGTCTGGTTGTTGAAAAATAACCTTAAAGCAACTGAATTAGTTTCTCTAAAATGTAGACTTCTGTTTAAAAAAAAAATGTTCCATCTGAGTACTTTGTTGTAATGGTTTGTGACCTTTTTAGAATAATGCTTGCTTGTTTCTGTTTTTACTAGTAATCTGAATGTTTTGCTGGAGGTAACTAGCAGAACATGACATGTACCTCTGCTATCAAAAAAACCCTCAGCAGAACCACACACATTAAGATTAGTGTGACTATAACTTGAATCAAGAGGATAATCACATTAAAAGATTAATGTAAAAGCCAGCTGATAGATGCAGAATCACTTAATCTTGATAGGATGTATACCTACCCACTAGTATAACTTTGATTCACAGATCTGGTGTGGATAAGAGAGTGCACACAAAAATGCAGTCGAACTGAAACTTCTGGAAAAATGCCTAGTATCCACAACCTTTTCTTACAAAGCACAGGCATTGAGAACTGTTGAAGAAAAAAGGGAAAATTATGTGAAATACAGCTGTGGGTTGTTTTTTAAAAGAATTTTAGGTACTTGTGTCTTGCAGTGTGCAGACTGTTGAATAGAATTGAAAATGAGTCATAGGACTACTCATTAGAAAGCAGTCTCACTAAAACAGCAGGTGTATGGATCCAAAGGACTTATTAAAAGCTAGGCTTCCTGTGTTTCTTTAGTATGGGATTACTTTCTGGAGTAAAGCTGGGTATTATTTTTACTGTACTCTCCCCAGTGCTGTTCTTTGTGTTCTGTAGTTTATGTTTGTTAAAGTAAATGCTAATATTATTTAATACGATTCCTCCTGTACTACACACTCATATTTGTCTATTTGATATATCATAGAGCAGTAAGGTTAAGTAAAGACTTTCTACACTTCAGCAGTAGTCCTAATATGTTCTAATACTATTCATTGTACTTGTGGGTCAGTTATGATGAAAGTGGTTGCCCACAGATGAGTCTTAGTCTTGTGGTTGATGTTCACATCATACTGTAGGAATGCGGTTGTCATTTGTTTCTTATGCTGGTATCTATCACCATAGCATGTGGGTGTCTGAAATAATGATCTCAGAGTGATGCAGGTCGTCAGGTAACATGCCAGTCTCGTGGTGGTCTTGGAAAATAATGCAATGCTTGAGCCACGTTACATACTGTTAACTATGATTTAAAGGCTTAGTTACGGAGATGAAATGTGAGTAGTAGAATACTATGGTAACAGGCTGACACTAACCTGTACTACTGAGTAAAAGTGATTTTCACATTCAAAATTTAAATTTAAAAATTTTAAATTTATTTTTTTTTGTAGTGTAGGTGACATCATGTCTAACTCAGGCTTTACTACTGCAGAATGCTTTCTCTCCAAATACAGCAGTCATTGTTAAGTGTTGTTTCTATGCTGCATTACAGAGATTGTTTCTGTAATTATATCCTGTGCACTGCAACTGTATTTGGTAGATTCTAGCCTACTATTAAAAAGAAGAAATACACCCCTGGACTTTTTCTACAATACATTCTTATTTATTTTGTTTAATTCTCAATGTCTTCATCCTTCAGTGTATTGTTACACTTTTACAGAGTGTGGAGTTGGTAGGGAGAGAGAGGGAGGGAACACCTTCAGCAGCAATTAATCTACTCCTAATAGTGTTGCTTAAATAGTTCAGATGAATCATCCCCTAGCATGCCTGTTTCTCTCCATGAATATAGGTGACTATCTGAGATTAGACAACAAACTTTTAACTAGAAAAAGCTAGGCAAGATGAACCTGTCCTTAGTTACTGGAAAAAATGGTGGTTGCCTGTGTAATCCCAGAAATCTGAAATCTATTTTCTGTTTTGCTCATTCTTATTCTTTATTTGCTTTTCCTGCCATAGGTCCTGATGTCTTTACATGAAATGTTTCCAGCAGTGCATGCAGCAGAAATGGCTGTCCAGCGAAACCCACGTTCCTGGGATGCCTGGCAGACTTTGGGACGTGCCCAGCTTGGATTAGGAGAGATAGCACTGGTAGGAAAACAGACAACATTATTATGCTAAACTTGCAACCCACATCCTCTGGATTGTATGTGAGAGAATGAAAGTACACAAATACCAAGATAGCTGAATATTCTTATGTAACCTGAAAGTAGGCAAGGAAGAAGGTTATTTATCCCCAGTATTTCTACCACTGTGTTTTTCACAAATGCTTCCTGTGTGGTTTTGGTGCTGGGCTCGTGGAAGCCTTCTGTGTTATATACTATATTTATGTGGTGACCTTATGCAATAGAATAATTATGTTGACATAACTGCACATGTTACATTTTGGGTACTGTACTACCACAGCACAGCTCAGTGAATGGTGAAGATGAAACTACTGTGAAGTTCCAGTTGATATTCAGACTTGGTTATATATGTGCCCACTAATAACATTCTAGTATGTTTTCCCTTCCCTCCTTTTTCTTACCCTTCTGATTCAGGTGCAGCAAATGATGTTTGCTCATTCATGCTTTCCACTGGCTTGTCTACAAATGGTGACTGAAGCTGGTTCTTTTCTTAGTCAGACACTAGAAAGGCTACGATGCTCTACAGTAGCTGAAATGCATCTTTCCTCTAGATGCAGCCAATTGCCATGGTGCTGTCTTGGCTACATTATGTGATGTGAAGGGAGACTCTGCTCCCATGTCAGATCACCCTCTACCTATAGGCTATACACTTGTAAATAAAGCAACATAAGTAGTGTAATAGTTTTCTGCCAGTTAGTCTGGAAACATAGCAAGTAAATTTTTTAATTCAGATATGTTCACAAAAGCCCATTAGAAAAAATATATCATTGAACTCTCATATAAAAAAAGATACTGGTTTTATTTCTAGTAAAAGTAGTTTTGTGCTTCTTTGATACAAGTAATTTTTTGGGCAATTCAGAGTGTTTTTGCAAAGTTGCAATGTTTGGGCCAAAAACCATTTTGAGAATAAAAAAATAATTATTTTTTTTGAGGGAGGATAAAAGATCATGCAAACCCATTTTCTTTTTAAAATGTAATAAGGAGCAGTAATAAAAAAAAAGAAAAACCACAACAAAAAAACCCCGAATGATCAGAATAACTTAAAGACAAAAGCTGTGTATGGCAGAGATGTCATGTGCTACCTTCTGTTGTTGCAGTATCATAGTATAAATTTATTTATATTTAGTGTACATTTTTGCAAGTCTACATCACATAACTGATGGTATTTGATGGCTGTTGTGGTGTCAGAGGTAAGTCTGTCCTGTCTAGATCTGCAATTTATATATTTATTTTTTTTCTTGTAACTATCTGAAATTGTTGCTGCAATAATGGCTGAGATTTTAAAATGCATTAATATCAGGAAATGTAAATTTTATTTTCTGCAAGAATCATAGGTAACTGATCCTTCTTATTGTATAAAAGATGCTATTGTTATTGTAATATGAATTGTAGATACTGGTATACCCATACTAGGGGATATAAACCAGCTCTACTCAGCAGATCCTATAAGCCTTGTCTACATTGGCAAGTTACATCACACCAATAGTAACATTTAATCATGAACAGGCAGAATTTTTTTTCTCTAAAGGCAGAAATCTCCTTAAATTCTACGTATCAAACTGCAAGAACATACCCAAGTGTACTTTGCAACATGAATGTAGATGCTGGAGAAGTGTAGTCAGGCTTGTAATATTTCTCTCATTTAATTGTAATTTTTTGTTTTTACAAATTTTATTTATTGTATTGGTGGTGCCAACTTGAGCAGTAACAATTGATATCTTCATTAGCACAGTTCTTCCCATGAGACAAAGCAAGCACCACACTACTATTAAACAAACAAAAAAACAAAACAAAAGCAGCATAAAACAAATAAATCAACTGAAAGTGACTGAGTTTCCCATCTTGGAGAAATTAATAAATCATCTGGACATGTCACAGGTAACCAGATCAAGGTGGCTCAGCTTGAGCAAGTTATTGGCCTACGTGAGCTCGGAAGGTTCTTGCCAACCTCCACCATTCTGTGACTCTGTGACAGGCCCTCTATTTGACATAGGCCCTCTATGTCAAATCTGGAGTGTAGATTACAAAGTTAACTGTGCAGATATGTAAATATGAACCAACTGTGCACGCTTTTTCTTAAATGTTTTGAAGGATGTGGTTTGCTGTGTTGCTACTAAGTAGTTGGTAGTTTAGCAGTCTTTAAGTGTGTTACTACATTTGGTAAAAGGAGTCAAGCCTTGACAATATGAATGCTTGGATCAACCCTTTTATTTCTTTGGAAAGAAACACTTAGATCTTTTATATAATCATGGGAGTTACATACTAGCAAAGAAAGGAGTTACGGCTTTTATTAGTATCCAGCTAGTTAACAGAACTGATTCTGAATTTGAGAGAATTTTTCAAAATACTACTAACGTAAATTTGTAGAAAACAAAGAATTTGGTAATCAAAAGGAAGCTGATGGCTGGCTTTCCTCTGAAAAGCAACCAACTGTGCTTCAGGCTCTGTTTCTGTCAACTTGAGCAGAAAAATAACTTGGGTGTTTTTTTTATAGATTTATATGAGATTAAAATATATTACACTGCTGTGATAATCTTCTAAGTATATCAGAATGTGTGGATTGGTTTATAGTGATGGAATATTTAACTGTATAATTATATATTTAAATATATATATTATATATTATATATATAAAAT